GTACCTGGGTCGTCGTTGAACAAATAACCCAACGATCGGCGGAAAATAATAAGTATGGAACTGTTGTAAAAAAGATAACAAATAAACCCTTGGGTATCAACACCAGTTCCTCATTATATTCGAACCTGAAGAGGGTTGCGAGCACAGTGATAAGCACGAAAGATGCTTTAACGACAGCCCTAGCGCTCTTGGCATTTTTCTCTCCCAAGAGATTTCCGATGCTGCAAGTCGGACGTGAAAAAGAGAAATAACGAAGCATGGAAGGAGTACGCCTACCGAACAGAAGTGGCAATACCCAAAGCGTAAGCCGCTTGGAAAAAAGAAGTGGAGGTCGTAATAAGGACAGGACTGAGCCGCCAAAGGAACGGGTCCAAGGCTGAAAAAAGACTCAACACCACGTAAAAACAATTTGATCAGATGCTTACAAGCTTGCAGCGACTGGGGACAACAATCGGCATGTATGCAGTCAGTAAAAGAAGTTGAAATCGCACTCACGTCCAACGAGTTCCCATGACCACCAAGAGGATGCCAGTTGACCTACGCTCGCGTCATTCGTATAATAATTTTAAGCTGCATCCATGAGATCCTTACCGATACCGCCAATGCTTAATTTGGCCAAACAGCCCAAGTTCGTGAATGCCCTGACTGTGATCGGATGCCAGGCGGTCCTTGGGACGAATAAGGACCCCGTAAACTACGAATGTGGCAGCGACAACGTTGTAGGAAATCGAAGCCGCAATAGGCGCTCCTATAAAACCTAAGCGGAATGGCTGGGGTCCCCATACTAAATATTGTTAAAACCCTCCATCTGCAACGGCAAACGCCGCACCTACCCAGGAGATAATTCAAGAATATGCTGACCGGTGCAACATAAAGAATGATACGGGTGGGAACGGTGAATAGTCCTGTAATGTAGAGAACGATCAATCAGTTGTTCACTTAGCAATACTTCTCTTGTCACCTTGTGATTGAAAGTAGCGCCTGGTTACGTGGAGATTAGCGCGCGTGCATTTGCAGAGTTCATATACCCGTACCTGGCTACGCAATTGAAAGCATAGGCTGGGAGTCCTAGCGCTGCCCATTTCAAGTAGATGCCAGCTAGTTTGGCAATCTCAGGGTCTTGATTCAACCCCAAAAGGATTAGTTCTGCGTGTAACCATAATGCCAGCACGGGCTTGGGCGAATCAGTACACGAAGCGGGTGGGAAATGGAAGTACGTACAATCAATACAGCGCACATCAGAAGAGCTGATCTGGAAGTCAGTTACGTCCATTTACACATCAGATTCGTGAACTTACTCATCCGTTGAGTCCAGAGGCCGACTAACTGAGGTTGGTCGGAGGTCCATGCCGGTGGAAGGACGGTATCTAGGGTATTGGCCATTCCCTGGACAATGCTCAGGCCGGTGACGTTAGCGGTCATAAAGCCCAGGGTAGCGGCCGCAAGTGCGACTGTGGAGATATGCCCAATGGAGATTACCGTGGCCATCATTATGCTGTGCTCAAATAGATGTATTCTGCGGACTTTCGATCAATCGCAGCTCCAGGTACGAATTAAGCAACAACTAACCCAAGGACAGGGGAGCGAATACTTGAGCAATATTTGTACCTCATCCCGCAGCACGGAGCCGTGCACTTGGAGAGGTATACGATACGGCAGTCGCGTCCATCAGGATGTAGGGAACCGGAGGAGGAAGCAGCGGTGTGGTTTCAAATGCTCCAAGTGGTAGCCCGGCATTTGCGCCGCTCACCTGGGTCATTGGGGCGGGTCTGCAATGGGCAAATTGTCCGATGTCATCGAAATCCTCACTGGGAGGGGCATTAGCACCAGTTTGATAACGACGCTCAATGGTACCGGCATGGCGGGCTAGGAGACCGCGATCTTGTGGTATCGAAGATGAGGCGCCAACAGGAGACATCACGAACGCAACGAAGGATGGGAGGTAACCTCTGCTTCTGCTAGGGCAGTCAAGAGGTAAAGGGGAACTGCCAAAGGGGACTCTCGAATGTGCTGGACTGGCGAATCTGAAGGAACCGCAGTGATGGCAAGCTCTGCAGAAAGAAAGGAAAAAAAAATTAGTCTCGCCGTACCCCTTATAAGCATGCGCGTGGCCACACGTAATTTAAGGTAAGGGGCCCGGGTACTTATCTGTGTCATGATGCCAATGGAGAACTGAAAGGAACAGAATGATGACACGGGCTATTACAAAGCTCCGTCAGAAAGAACCTCGCCAGAACCAAACAAAAAGCACCAATGGAGGAAGAAGTACATACAACATGCACATGGAGCCGACAGTGGTACCATCTGTCACGTGACCGCATCAAGTCAGGTAGGTCTCTGAAAGTGCTTGATCCAGCTCCAACTCCAGCCCCAGCTCAATCGCGATTGTCTGGTTAGCGGGTGCATTTGGGGAGCTTACCTCCGTCGTCGGCGTGCTGCGCCTGCTCGAGCTGGTGACCACCTGTCCTTTTGATCTTCCGTTCCTGTCTTTTCGATCGCTTAGCACGAGTTTTGCTCTATCTTACTGTGTTATGCCGATGAGGTCCTGAGGCATCCTTTGTAACGTCACCACTGGTGGCGGATTGAATACGAAAGCTCCGCCCGTCAACTTATCGGCACGATCACCGCAAAGTCACGAACATGGATGGAGTCTTCTGACCAAGGGACTTGTCTCAGATTCTCACCACTGATCCGTATCTCCTTATAGGGGTGTTTGAAAATCACGTGACGAACGCGTCGCGTTGCCCAGCCTTCGAATGAGAGTTGTACGATCAATCACCCAACTTCCATGGATGAAGTTCTGAACCAGAAGACGATGCTGATGGACGAGGAATCTGGTTGGTCTAAAGAAATTTATGAAGAAATGTACTTGTCCGACAAAGACGCCGACCTGAAGGAAGACAACAAACAACAAACTAATACCCAAGAGTCCGACGCGAGCCACAAGTTGAACAGTACGAGACTGTATGTGACACAAGGGCATGATACGTGCTCTTCAGCAACTGCTCAATTGCCTTCTGCCCGTATACAGGCTACATCCACTTTCCCCGACTTATCGCACCCAGGCTGTTGGACTGGTTCAAGTTGAAGACAGCGTGCCATCCAGTAAAGAATATGAAGGGGACCTCTCCCAATTCGACCGACATTATTGTCGTGAGAACATGGTCGAACGGACGTTGGCACGCTCTACTGTATTTTCCACAGCAGCCACTGAGGGTGATAAAGACCGAAGCCGCCCCGAACCACCACCTCCACGCGCCTTTAAGTTAGCTGCTAAAGTGAATATTAACCCGTGAGTTATCAAACCTTTTCCGTAGATACGACGGCTCTCAGCGTGCAAATAGTGCCAACCCGAAAAAGTACGTTGAACGAGAGGGCTATCAGATTCCCGAAGAATCGCATCACTCCTCTCACCTAGTAAGGGCTCCGCCGATCAAGAAGCCCATCCAAAACTTCAGCACTGTGGAGCCGGCTCCACCGTCTGCCGCACAAAACCTGTCCTGCGACAAACCGTTGGACGAGGTGAAGAACTCTACCACTTCAATATACAGCTACCTTGATTACCGCAATCCGCCCGCTGCAGTCCTCTACACCCGATGCGAGGACGAAGCTAACGATCTCGTACAGTCCCTGGAAAGGTGAGCTCTACATGCCTCGGAAATTATATGGCGAGGTTCTATTTTAGCAGCCCATTAGGTTTTGATATGGAGTGGCGCGTTATGTGGAAAGCGGGCGCCGCTGAACGTAGAACAGCCTTGGTCCAATTATGTGATAGTCGTACCATTCTACTTATCCAGATCAGCAGTATGAAAAGTGAGGGCTTATCTTTCTACTTACTGTAACGTCGATGCTAACATTTGTCCGCAAGGATTCCCGAGGAAAGTTTTGGTACACGTTTCACTGTTCCTAGAGGCCCATGCTGTCATGTTCACACCCACCTAGGAAGTAATAGAGTGCCCGAACATCGTGAAGACGGGTGCTAACATAAAGAGTACGTGGAGACACCAATTAATCTGTGTATGATCCTCAGCATTTACGATAGAGGACGGTGAGAAGCTCTATCGCGACTTTGGCATTCGCGCACGCGGTCTCGTAGAGCTGGGTGCTCTTGCTGCCAAAGCCGACGAGAAGTTCAGAAGTATGTACAACCGCGAGGTCGTCAGTCTTGCAAAGATGGTCTCGCTGTACCTCGGGAAGACCCTGGTCAAAAATAGCGCACGTACTTCGAACTGGGAAGTGAAGCTTACCACCAAGATGGTAGACTGTATGTAGACTTCTTTGCTCCGGATCCATGGGTTCACTATATCCACATGCAGATGCTGCAAACGACTGTCACTGTGCGGTCATGGTCTATAATAAACTAGTGGAGAAGGCGGTCCTGGAAGGGAAGCACCTCGAAATGTCGACATATTCATGTGACATTGACCCATGCGCCATCAAATTGGGCGTAGAACCCGCTTTGGAGAGAAGTAGGAGTACCGGGTCTTCGGTCGCTGTGTCGCCTTCCTTTCGAGATTACTGCATACCTGAACCTGCTAGTCCACAATATTTGCGCGCTTACAGGATGTGGTACGATCGAAAGATGCCTCTTGATAGCATGTGTTTTGAACTAAAGGCTGGGGGGCGAACCGAACCCCTGAAGGAAAGCACAGTAATGTCCGTGTTGCCTCACCTCATCATCTAAACCTCACTTGAAAGCTCTCCTCGATAGATCATATGTTATAGGCGCATTGCAGGCGGATGCGCTACTGCCGTTTGATTTGCGAGAGTTGCGAGAATTGGTGCAGACGGAAGCTGGCAGCTGGCAGCGGCATCGCACGTGGATCCATGAAAGAGAGAGGCGCACTTTGACGCTCTAGACATGTTTTCTTTCATCACTAACGGAGTGTAGTCGACTAAAATCTGCGTATACTCCCTATAACGACCGGAGATTACTTTCACTGTCGTACCAGCGGCGAGATTGTTCTTTAAAAAGAATTAACCTTGCTGGAATGTGCGACTGCCCACTGGCTGGATTGAACAACCGACCTCATCATTTGCGATGTATACAAGTGATGCGCTCTACCACTGAGCTAAGCGGGCTGGCTCCATTGGGGGCTTTGATGAGTACCTGTAAGAGGGAGAGACAAGGATCGGTTATCAGCTGGATTATCCCCAGCTGGTGATAACTCGAATCTCGAGACCGTTGCAGACAGCCATGGCCGTCAGACTCTCCGCTGCAGAGCATTATGAGGCTCTCCTCAACAAGTACGATACATGGATGTTCGACTGCGATGGGGTACTCTGGCACGGCGATCGGCCGATTGAGGGCGCAGTCCAAGTTCTCGATATGTTACGCAAACGAGGCAAGTTTGTCATGGACATTGTCCGCCTGTGTCATAGCTGTTGTGTTGCGATAACTCTATCACGCCAGGAAAGCGGCTGCTCTTCGTGACGAACAACGCAACCAAGTCCCGGAGAAGCTACAAGACCAAGTTCGATCAGCTCGGCATTGAAGCACACGTAGTAGGTCTCTCGCCGTGTTTTCTGCCTCATCGATGGTCGTGCCAATGCGACGGAAATTGTCTAATTAGGACGAGGTATATGGGTCTGCATACGCAGCTGCAGTGTACATCTCTTCGGTGATGAAACTCCCCAAAGACAAGAAAGTATACGTCATCGGCATGTCAGGCATCGAGGAAGAGCTGCGCGAGGAGGGCGTGTCCTACGTTGGCGGGACGGTTAGTCCTTCACATTTACTTTGTAATGTCCGAGCGCATCTTTATACGACGGTACTAGGATCCAGCGGACTGCACGCTCGAACCCTTCTCTCTGGCCGACTTCACACCAGACCCGGACGTCGCTGCAGTACTATGTGGCCTAGATGCCATGATTAATTACACGAAGCTTGCAAAGGCGTTCCATTATCTTCAGCGTGACCCGAGTTGTCGGTTTCTGGTCACGAACGAGGACAGTACGTTCCCGAGCGCACATGGTCTTCTGCCTGGAGCCGGCGCTATCAGTGCGCCACTACGATTCGCCTTGAATAGAGACCCGCTCAGTATAGGAAAGCCAGCCAAGACTATGTTAGACTGCATTCAAGCCAAGTGCGTACTCCTATCGTCGTCCAGAGTGAAAGTAGTTGATACCCTTTCCGTAGGGTTCATTTCGACCCTAAGCGTACGATCATGATCGGCGACAGGCTGAATACCGATATTTTGTTTGGACAAGCTGGCGGTCTCGCCACCCTTCTCGTCCTCACAGGTGTGTCGGAAGTCCACCAATGTTCCCGAGGTTACTCACAAGGTCATTTGATGCGTACCCGACAGGTGTCACCACAGAAGAGGATATCGCTGGCCCGAACGCATCCACCATTGTGCCCGACTACGTTACCCCATCCATTGGGGATCTGCGTTTGGCGAAATCTTCGTAATATAATAGACCTAGACAAATCAAGCATTGGGTATACCACCCCAAATAACTTATTCCACCACTTTATGGAGCCTCAGCTAGATTTACATTTCGTAGACGGCTGCTGTACGGAACGCAATTGCTCTTGCGCTAGCCATTTCACAAAGTTGTCGGCGAGCGCCGCAAGTGAACCTATGATATAGCCTGCCAGGCTTCCATACAGTGGAGTTAATGGCCAAGCCTGATACGAAGAAATAAAACTACTGTTACGAAGGTGAATATTCGAATACTTACTTGCCAGGGACGATCCCAGTCAAGTGGGATAGGAACGGCACCGACCCATGCACCAACGACGGTTCCAACAGCTGGATAGACCACGATCCGTTCGACCGAATTTCTGGGCCTGCATCTCGTCAGTAAACCGACAAGGAGAGGCCATACTGTCGAGTTACCCACGAAAATTCAGCAAAGAGTCTGATCCAATTCAACCTGTTGACCAATGCGGGCGTGTCTGACGCGAGGGAGGGATGCCTAAACACGAAAGCGGGTATGAAGGCTGTCAAGACTGCGATTGTCAAAGCTAGTAGACCGGTTTCAAGATGATGGCTGTAGAGGTGTTCAGGACCGCGATGATTGGAAAAGTAGGAGACACAGTACACGCCTTGATAGAGGTGCCCCAAAGAGAATGATGACGACGTGCGCAACCAGCGTCGCAAACAGGGTGAACCCGACGGCTTCGCAAAGTTTCTGTGGCCAGCGTGGTACGTATTGAGCTAACGGGCCGCCTGAAGAAGAGCAAATATGTGCGACAGACATACCGCGAACCAGAGCTCGTTATCTTTTGCTCTGGTAATCTTGATCTCGTCTGACGTTCCGTTCGCGTTCTGCTCAAAGTGCCATTTCCTTACCCAGGTGCCCCACCACACCTGCAGAAAGCACAACCCAGCAAGTGTCCACGCAGCCGTCACCGCGGAACATGCTGTGAGCGCTTCCATGAACTCAGACTGAGGCCTGTCAGTCTTTCGTACAGGGAGGAGTCCGAACATGCGAGTGGACTGAGGAAGGTAGAGGGCTGTAAAACCCACGAGAACGACATGCACGCCGACGATGGAAGCATACTGGAAGAACGGGAAGAAGCCTTGCTGGGATTCGCTTACAGTGTTGCTGAGAGCAACTTTGTTGATTTTCGCTCTGGCAGGCATGATGAGCACAGCTTCAAGATGGCATAGTAAGGGTAACTAAAAGCATGGGGTTATGTAACTGTAATCAGTACTACTGGAGAGAAAAGTCCATCCATATCATTCAAGTAATGTATGAACTGAAAAGGTCGTCGTCACCGGAGCACCAGCTCACGTCCTGGACGTAACATCCCGTTCTTCTGCCCAATGAGTGGGCATGGGGGGTGTCACATAATCGGAGAACGGATCGTTCTTGGAATCCTCATCCTTTCCCTTGTCATCTCCGAAGGACGTGTATCCTCCGTAATCGTACTGCGGCGGTTTGCCTGAACCATCAAATGGTGGCGGACCAGCCGGTGGCGCATACGCAGGAGCGTCATACGGCGCGTTGTTGTAAGCGGGGAACTCATTCATTCTCACTTGGTTTGCTGGTGCACGGGAGGAGTTGACAGGACTTGTGGGGTCGATCACCTGGCGATAGTATGCGAACGCTGTCGACGTAAATCCCAGCCCGATAACTGCATCAAATGCGTCAGTACATATCCAATCTTACCTCTCACCAGCTAGTGGAATTGCGACGGACCGATCAGGGCAATAAGCAAGAGAATCTCAGCCCAAGAATCGCGGGACCACATGTCGTTGCAATCTGGCAACCGCATGTCAATGACTCGCCCACAGTGTTCCGATAAATACTTACATGACGCTGCGTCGGTAGCATCTAGGTTAGATCCGGGGTCAGATCCCCAGAAACCGAACATCTACAAGAAAAGGGGTGCACATGAACCCATTTGTGTGGAAGCGTACCAACTTGCGACCTACCGAGTCCGTGCTCCCGTTTTGGGCGAGAATCTCGCACTCTGCGATCAAGTCGCTCTGAGATGTCGTGAATACGCTGGAGACTCACAGGATATCCGAAATCCACGTACCTTGAATGTGAAATGTGTGATAACACGCATAAACGATACCCCCACTGCAAATAAGGTCGTCAGGGCAGACAAGTATGTGAATATCCTGATGAGTCTTGTGCGTTGCTAATTGATACCAATATCAGAAAACAGCTCGCCTCAACCACGACGGCTGTGCATACCGTAGCTGCTGCCATTATCCCGAACCCCTGAAAGAGTAAGACGACGGTATACAAGACACCCTGCACTACCGCCAGCGGGGCGAGTTTGTGGAAGTTATCTGACCACCTGTCAGCGTCACCAGCAGAAGTTTCATGGCTGGAGGCACACCGTTTTCGTCTGTAGCGAGTTCCCTGTAACCTGCAACCTTGAAGTGACATCGGGCATGAGTCAATGATCCCGTTCGGCGATGGGTGTCTTACAGCACTACAATAGCACAGAGTGAGTGCTGATCCCCCACCAATTGTGTGGATATACTCACAATGCTAGAGACCACAGGGCGGCAACAACGGCCACTACATCTGCGTGAGGCCATGAAGCACAGAAGAACGAGATTGACACTTACTCGCAAGGACGATTGGTCGCAGACTCCGTTTATAAACCCTCGTCACATACGAATACGCCGGCGGAGCGCCTGTGCAAGACGTGAGTCAGAAATAGAGGCATCCTTTTCCACATACCCGTTGGAGGACCCCTTCTGCCTGCCATGGTTCGTTAGATCTCTGTCGTGTGCGTCGTTCGTCAAGGATATGGTACAAATGCAAGGATGTTCTTTGTGTTGACGTCGCTCCCCTCACCGCTTCGCAACGCTCCGCAGCTGTTTCACCACTGCAACCAATAATATTCCCACAATCCTGTGCTTGTGGCTGTGTTAAGATAGTACTATGGACTAAGTGTTATGCAAAATGTCTATGGGGGAGCGTCCGTCGTTCTACAAAGGCAGAGAAGAAGAAAAAAAAATCAATCCAGCTGCCGATCTCGGTTGCAAAACTAAATGCAAGTGGGCATGAAAGTCATGTTGAGAAAATGCCTAGGATCTTGAACGAAGGAACATCCCTGTCCTGGGTCTCCTATATGCAGACACTCCACAAAGTGAGACCCACGAGTAACCATATGGTCGATCATTTCGAGTCTGTCAGATCGTTAGGGAGGTATTTACGAAATGAGGAATATGGCGTACGTTGGGAATGGGACTTGAAATGTCGCCCGAGTTTTCGATGGTGACAGCCCCTCCAAAGTTATCATCCACCCAACACTCCAACTGGCTTCCCTCCCCAATATCCTGGATTGGTTCCTTTAAGTAATATATGCCCACGTCACCTGCCCCGACCCGGATAGGCACCCGTAACCTACTCAGGGCCGTCGTGCTGTACCAGTAATACGCTGCCGTCAATAACGGCGACACGCCAGGTGGAGGGTGCGCAACTTCCCAACCCGAACCATAGAACAACGAAGGTGGAACGGGATTCACAAGGTCATTTGCCGACACACAGAACGGTACAGGCTCCTCGAACTGAATAGTCGACCGCGGTCGCGTGTTCATCAGTACAGGGGGAATGGTTAATTCAGGATATATTGGAACCGACGGGGGTCCGCGTAGCGGCTTCTT